AAACAAAAAGGAGCCGAACCAGAGAGAAGCCGCCCTCCTGGCGTACGAGCTTCTTTCCACCATCCTAGGTCGTCTCTTCGAACCCTACGTCATTCAAATCGTTCCTCAGCTTCTTACTGGCTTTGGTGACGCCAACGCCAACGTCCGAGACTCCTGTCTGGCAGCAGCAAAGGCCTGTTTCGGCAAGCTGAGCTCATATGGTGTCAAGAAGATCCTTCCTACCCTACTCAACGGTTTGGACGATGACCAATGGCGTAGTAAAAAGGGAGCCTGTGACCTGCTGGGAGCCATGGCTTATCTTGACCCCAACCAACTGGCGCAGAGTTTGCCCGATATCATCCCCCCTCTCACTGGTGTTCTCAACGACAGTCACAAGGAGGTCCGCTCGGGTGCCAACAAGAGCTTGAAGAGATTTGGCGAGGTAATCAGTAACCCTGAGATCAAGGGTCTTGTCGACATCCTTCTCAAAGCGCTCAGCGACCCCACTAGATACACGGATGATGCCTTGGATTCTCTGATCAAGGTCCAATTCGTGCACTACTTGGATGCTCCGTCACTGGCGCTGGTCACAAGAATCTTGCAACGTGGTTTGGGCGACCGTTCAAACACCAAGCGCAAAGCAGCACAAGTCATTGGCAGTCTTGCGCATCTCACTGAGAGAAAAGACTTGGTCTCGCATTTGCCAATCCTTGTTGCCGGACTCAAGCTTGCCATCGTCGATCCTGTCCCCACAACTCGTGCCACCGCATCAAGAGCTTTGGGATCACTTGTGGAGAAGCTGGGAGAAGATGCCCTGCCGGATCTCATCCCTGGCCTTATGCAAACCCTCAAGGCAGACAACGGCGCTGGCGACCGTCTCGGTTCCGCCCAAGCTCTCAGCGAGGTCCTCGCAGGTTTGGGTACCACCAGACTCGAAGAGACTCTCCCGACCATTCTGCAAAACGTCGAGTCGACCAAGCCGGCTGTTCGCGAAGGCTTCATGTCCCTCTTCATCTTTCTCCCTGTTTGCTTTGGCAACAGCTTTGCAAACTACTTGGGCAGAATCATCCCTCCCATTTTGTCTGGTCTTGCTGATGATGTGGAGTCTATCCGCGAGACTGCTCTTCGTGCAGGTCGTCTCCTTGTCAAGAACTTTGCTGTTCGCGCTGTTGATCTGCTACTTCCAGAGCTTGAACGCGGCTTGGCCGATGACAGCTACCGCATTCGTCTTAGCTCAGTCGAGCTCGTTGGTGACCTTCTCTTCAACCTCACAGGTATCAGTGGCAAGGCCGAGGATGAAGAGGAGGACGAGGAGAGCGCCAGAGAGGCAGGAGCATCACTTCGCGAGGTCCTCGGCGAAGAAAAGAGAAACAAGATTCTCTCTGCTCTCTATGTTTGCCGCTGCGATACCGCCAACGCCGTCCGCTCCGCTGCCGTTGCTGTGTGGAAGGCCTTGGTTTCCAGCCCTCGCATTCTTAAGGAGTTGGTGCCGACGCTTACTCAACTCATCATCAAGCGTTTGGGAAGCTCCAACATGGAGCATAAGGTCATTGCTAGCAATGCCCTTGGCGAATTGATCCGCAAAGCCGGTGATGGTGTCCTCTCCACCCTGCTGCCTACTCTTGAGGAGGGATTGCAAACCTCCACCGACACAGACGCGAAGCAGGGTATCTGCCTTGCCCTCAAGGAACTCATTGCCTCGGCCTCAGAGGATGCCTTGGAGGACCACGAGAAGACGCTCATTTCTGTCGTCAGAACAGCCCTCACTGACTCAGATGCTGATGTTAGAGAGGCTGCCGCAGAAGCCTTCGATTCTCTCCAGCAGATCCTGGGCAAGAGAGCTGTGGACCAGGTGCTTCCATACCTGCTCAACCTCCTTCGCTCCGATGAGAACGCCGACAACGCCTTGTCAGCCCTGCTTACCCTCCTTACTGAGACGACTCGCTCAAACATCATTCTTCCCAATCTTATCCCCACGCTTATTACCCCTCCCATCTCTGCGTTCAACGCCAAGGCTCTCGCTTCCTTGTCGAGGGTGGCCGGTGCTGCTATGAACCGCCGCCTGCCCAACATCATCAACTCATTGATGGAGAACATCATTACCTGCGAGGACGAGGCTTTGCGAGAGGATCTCGAGACATCTTTCGATACTGTGATCCTGTCCATCGACGAGTATGACGGACTCAATACAGTGATGAACGTACTACTTCAGCTTACAAAGCACGACGATCACCGGAAACGTGCAGCGACGACCCGCCACCTGGGCAAGTTCTTTGCCGCTGGCGAAGTGGATTATTCGCGCTACAATCAAGATATTGTGCGGTCGCTTCTCATCTCCTTCGATGATAGAGACGCAAGCGTTGTCAAGGGTGCCTGGGCTGCACTTAGCGAGTTCACCAAAAAGCTCAAGAAAGAAGAGATGGAGGGCCTGGTTATTTCCACCAGACAAACTCTCCAGCAGGTTGGTGTGGCTGGCGCGAACTTGCCCGGGTTCGAGCTCCCCAAGGGTATCAACGCCATCCTGCCCATCTTCCTGCAGGGTCTTATGAATGGCACGCCGGAGCAGAGAACACAGGCAGCTCTGGCTATCTCCGATATCGTCGACCGGACAAGCGAGGCTTCGTTGAAGCCGTTTGTTACACAAATAACAGGTCCACTCATTCGTGTTGTTTCCGAAAGGTCTACAGACGTCAAGTCTGCCATTTTGTTGACTCTCAACAACCTCTTGGAAAAGATGCCTGCGGCACTGAAGCCATTCTTGCCTCAGCTTCAGCGCACCTTCGCTAAGTCTCTTGCAGACACATCGAGCGAGGTCCTCAGAGCCCGCGCGGCCAAGGCGTTGGGTACTCTTATCAAGTACACGCCACGTATCGATCCGCTCATTGCCGAGCTCGTCACTGGCTCCAAGACATCAGACCCCGGTGTCAAAACGGCTATGCTCAGCGCACTTTACGAAGTCATTAGCAAAGCTGGCGCCAACATGGGCGAAACATCGAGAACCGCCGTTTTGGGTCTCATTGACATGGATACCGACGAGAGGGACGATGCTATGACAATCACAAACGCCAAGCTGCTTGGAGCATTGATTAAGAATGTTCCCGAGGAGGCTGCCAATGGGTTGCTTAAGAACAGAGTTGTGACTAGCCACTGGAGTCACTCTTCTGCACTGGCGCTGAACGCAGTGCTCGTGGAGTCTCCGAAGAGTCTCCTTGAAAGTCCTCTCGCGGACGACTTGCCCGACCTCCTTGGCCAGGGCATGTCCCACAAGAACGTAAGTAATTCGTTGTGATGGCCTCTAAGTAACGCAAAACTTACTCGTATCACAGCCTTACATTGCCGACAATGTCATCCTTGCCACGGGCAAATATCTCCTTTCAGATTCGACAAAGTCTTTCGACTCGAACAAGAAGATTTTTGAGGCACTTGCCAACACGATTCAACCGGGAGGCCCTGTCGACTCGCGCCGACTTGCTCTGGTTATTGTCCGCACAATGAGCCGCGTGGACATGGACATGGTCAGGCCGCATGTTGCTGCGCTTGCAGGTCCCATCTTTGCCAGTGTCAGGGACCCTGTTATTCCAGTCAAGCTAGCCGCCGAAGCTGCATTTATGGCTTTGTTCAATGTGGTGGACGATGAGACACGGGTCTTTGACAAGTACGTCGAAAGTGCCAATCTGCCGCCGAACACCAAGAGGAGCATGCAGGATTACTTCAAGCGCGTCACAATGCGGCTGGGTACCCAAGCACGTGAGCGGAGAGAGGCTGAGGGTGGCCAAGGGGGCCTGGGTCTGTCTAGCGACGAGGTCGAGGACGAGAAGGAGATCTGGAGCGTGGGTAAGGTCGACGTTGGTGAGGATGTGTTTGGCAAGTAGATAGGGCATGAAGGTTGTAGTAAAAGGAAGGGGCAAACATTGAAATTTAAAAGTTTTGTTTTACGTGATCACTAAGCGGCTTTGTTGAGTAAAAAGATGATTCGCTCTCTAGCTTGAGGTTAAAATGAGTAAGGCGGTTGTTGCGGCCCTGGAAGACGAAGGTATGCCATGGTTGCACTATCTGATGGAGATGACGCTCCATCAAAGTTGAGATATCTCCAGGAAATCAAAAGTGACGAGCGAGACTAAACATGATTCCGTGTCTCGTGCAGTAGCTACCGCTGAATGACTCTCGGGGTCAAGGTATTAGTATTTTCAATGAATTCGGCGAGAACCATTTCATTGTTTAATTCTCCAAACCACCTCAACCAGCGTTCACGCGAGGATAGGAAGACAACATTAGATTTCAAGGTACCTGAGGTACATATGCTGGGATCCTTGCCGGGCAATGTTAACCTTCCAGAGGTGCCCTGAACATGGAGTGCAAGTACCTGATGTATCTCTCATTTGCGTGCACCGGCCCCTTAAGACACACCAAAGGGCCTATGTCGTTGACGACACGTGACCTAAGAGCGAAAGTGTGGCCTCGATTTTTCCGGGCTCGCTTACCCATCGCCCCACATTGCCCACACAGAGTCAGCCCCGACTCTGCTCTCACACTTCGCCTTTCAGAAAAATTGGCCTCCTGTCACCCCTCTCGAAATTTCAACACCCTCGACTCCCCCGGTAGGTACGACCATCGACTAGGACAGCATTCAAGATGTAAGTTATCACGACACGAGCACTACACCATTCTTCCACCGAGCCCAAATCGATTTGCGTCGCCTACTGCACCGGGCAAGCCTTATTTAGGGTCTATCGAAGCCCGGGACACGCGGGGGCGACAAAAACCGACGACGGCATCCATCAATTCGACGGCGGGACGACGATGGTTTTTTCTCCCATCACCAAGGACAAATTGCTGATGTCCAATGTCTTCACAGGGTCAATCTGCGAACTCAGAAGCGCCTCGCCGCGTCGGTCATCGGCTGCGGTGAGCGCAAGATCTGGCTCGACCCCAACGAGGTCAACGAGATCTCCAACGCCAACTCTCGCCAGACCATCCGCAAGCTCGTCGCCGATGGCCTCATCATCCGCAAGCCCGTGACCATGCACTCGCGGTCCCGTGCCCGTGAGCTGAACTTGGCTCGCCGCATCGGTCGCCACCGTGGCTTCGGTAAGCGCAAGGGTACCGCTGAGGCCCGTATGCCCAGGTTCGTCGACACCATTCCCATCGATCGGTCCGCTATTGGAGGTTACTCTTGGGATATCACTTGGGCAACCCCCTTGAACGTTCGACAATGATATCCACAAGTCTTACGGCTCGCGGACCGATTTGATACATCTGGCGGAAATTCATACTGACCCCATCACAGCCAGGTCCTCTGGATGCGCCGCCTCCGTGTCCTTCGCCGTCTTCTGGTGAAGTACCGTGCCTCCGGCAAGATCGACAAGCACCTTTACCACGAGCTTTACCACTCCAGCAAGGGTAACGCCTTCAAGCACAAGCGTGCTCTCGTTGAGCACGTAAGTCTCGCCCCAACTATATCTTTGGATCGCAATATTGGAGATGAGTGGTGGGCTGACGCCGGATACCTCACAGATTCACCGTGCCAAGGCCGAGAAGGCCCGCGAGAAGGCTCTCAAGGACGAGATGGACGCCAAGCGTGCGAAGACCAAGGCTGCCCGCGAGCGCAAGCAGGAGAGACAGACGGCGAAGAGAAACGCTCTGTTGGGCGAGGGCGAGGAGGAGGCCAAATAGATGATCACGATCGATCTCGGTCCTTAGGCGGCTGCATTCGGAGTCATCGGGTTGGGTCTTCTTTTTTTACGTCCTACTGTCCCTATTGTCGCAGCAGGGCTTTGGCATGTAGCATTGAAAAATGGAAATCGATGACATGGCAAATTACGGGAACGAAAATGAGTAGCAGCAATTCTTTTACGGTTCTACATTCATGAGAGTCCTCGTGACATTTTCCTGGTCATGTCTGACGATAGATACCCTTTTTCAACCCTTCTCAAGATCGTTCACCAGCTGGGCCAGTTTTCGTCTTTCTCTTCGGTGAAGTCTAAGCGTCATACACCGCGTGCTTGTCCGCACTCATCAAGCGTGGGCCACCAACCCAATGGGATTGTCGGGCTAAACAATGTTTGGTTCGACGGACATCGGAAATTGGCCACACAGATGTTTCCAACCAAAATGAGACGTATGGAACTTCAGCATCTAAGCCATCCTCATTGACTCGACTACAAGTGAGTCCCCGCAGCTGTTAAAGATATCCATCCGTACTACTCCAGACGGCGTCAGCCCATTGTGGCTTGGGCTACCACAACCAGAAGAGTACAAGGCCACGGCAAAGCATACAAAGGACTACTGGGCTGTCCTTACCATTGCTTCAAAATGTGCTGCGGACAACCAGTAGACATCTCCACAGTAGGCAGTCTAAACCAGATGCTTCATCGGTCTGGAAGAATGTCCGTGGCACTCGCCAGGATCCCCATCCCCGATGGCATTCCGAGTTACGTTTTTTTTTCTAATATTGATTCTATCTGATGGCGGCAAAGATGGAATGTGGTTCTAAAACCGTGTCCGTCGCGTCCGACAAAGAGTTAGGATGGAAAAGGTTGAAAATTTTCAAAGACAAGGTAAACAGATGAGTAAAGAAGCACAACATGGATTGGATCAGATTGTTTCATATTGTCCTGAAAAAAGGTGGTGAGGACGCCAGAACATTTCATCATGCACCCGCCGAAGCGGAAGAGCTGATGTGACAATAAGCGTGCTCGTCATCTCCAATTTAGTTGTAAAGAAGAGAAGAAGAGAAAGGAAAAGCTCGAACTCACAACGCGGCCTTGAAAAAGGGTAGAGATTGTGGGGCTGGGGCAAGCGCGGCGGGTCGCTACCGAGGGGTCCGTGCGTGTTCAGCTCAACGTTCTCAACTTTCCACGGAGGACGGATGCCAAAGGTCCTTGAAGGCTTGGAACGATATCAGTGCCTCGGGTGTGTTTCTTGTCCCACAACGATGGGCCGATGCGATAAGTGCTGATAAGCGCGCAGCGCGGAGCGCAGGATGGCGAGCAGGATGGAAGTTGGAATGCAGTGCACGACGGACAAGTGCGAGGTCGGAAGTTGAGCCGAACCCCGGCTCCAACCGCCAACCACCAACACAAGCACTGAGCAGCTCGGCCACCACACCGGGCGCTTTGCTTTGCTTCATGGTTCTCGGGTCACATTCCGCCTGAAGCAGCGGCAGTTGTCCCCCGAAACCCCCCAATCCCCAGGTCCTTATGTACCGCGGTCTCCTCATGCCTGTGCACGCCCGCCGCCGCTACATCATGGTATTGTTGTAGCTGGGTCAATTGGTTTGTAGTTGTAAGCTCCGTCCCTACCTTATTCACTAGTATGTCGACCGCCTTCCTTCCTTAACCGCCACCAACTTCGTCTCACCCCCCAACTTATTCTCCTTCGCATCCTCCAACCTTTTTCAAGCTTCACAACAACTCTTGGAACAGGCAATTGATTTCTTATTTCACAGTTCCTTCGTCATACCGGCGTCATGTCACTTCCAGCATTTCGAGGCACAGCTCGTGCTTCCCGCTTCCTGCCGAAGGCGGCGTCAGTTCCCTGCGCAGGTGGCGTGAGGCGATTCATCTCGACCAAGAGCTTGGAGGGCCAGCAACAGGTGCGCATAGCTGCCCCTATCGCGGTTGCATACAAACGGGAACGTTACTCAACTGACTCTGCAACCAACAGCTGCTGGCAGCCAAGCTTCAGCAGGCTGACCCCGCCGTCTACGACATTATCGAAAAGGTACGAGCCCGCCCAAGCCCACCGATAGCTTCCCAGCACACAAACCTGTGCGCCGAGGATGCTCCCATACGACATATCCGCTGACACGGTTGGAAATACGTAGGAGAAAACCAGACAGAAGCACTTCATCAACCTCATTCCCTCGGAGAACTTCACCTCCCAGGCCGTCCTCGATGCCTTGGGCAGTGTGATGCAGAGTATGTCCATTGCTGGCTCCAGATGTGACGGAAGCTAAGACTATTTCCAAGACAAGTACTCCGAGGGTTATCCTGGCGCAAGATACTATGGCGGCAACGAATTCATCGACCAGTCAGAGCGTCTCTGCCAGCAGCGTGCTCTTGATACATTCGGTCTCGACTCAAAGCAATGGGGTGTCAATGTCCAAGGTGCGCTCAGCTTACAACACAGGAACCCGCTTCCTACGCATTTACTTACACCTTCTTCTAGCTCTGTCCGGTGCCCCGGCCAACTTGTACGTCTATTCGGCGTTGATGGACACCCACGATCGCCTTATGGGTCTGGACCTGCCTCACGGTGGTCACTTGTCGCACGGCTACCAGACACCGACTAAGAAGATCTCCGCCATTTCAAAGTACTTCGAAACAGTCCCCTACAGGCTGGACGAGGCTACTGGACAAATCGACTACGCCAAGTTGGAGGAGCTTGCTACGCTCTACCGACCCAAGATCATTGTCGCAGGAGCCAGCGCGTACAGCCGTTTGATCGACTACCAGCGCTTCCGCGAGATCTGTGACAAGACCAACGCCTACCTCGTGGCCGATATGGCCCACATCTCTGGCCTGGTGGCAGCCAAGGTGATGCCCAGCCCGTTCGACTATGCCGATATCGTCACCACTACAAGTCACAAGAGTCTGAGAGGACCTCGTGGCGCCATGATTTTCTTCCGCAAGGGAGTGCGTCGCCAGAATGCCAAGAAGGAGGACGAAATGTACAACCTCGAGGGCCCCATCAACGCCTCCGTCTTCCCCGGCCACCAGGGTGGCCCTCACAACCACACTATCACCGCCTTGGCCGTTGCCTTGAAGCAGGCTCAAGCCCCTGAGTTCCGGGCCTACCAGTCTCAAGTTCTGGCCAACGCGAAGGCGCTATCCCAGAGACTGGGTGCTCCCAAGGAGAAGGGAGGTTTGGGCTACAGCATTGTCTCCGGCGGCACCGACAACCACCTTATTCTTGTGGATCTCAAGCCACAGGGCATCGATGGCAGCCGCGTTGAGCGTGTGCTGGAGCTCGTTGGTGTTGCTGCCAACAAGAACACCGTGCCAGGTGACAAGTCGGCACTTGTGCCTGGTGGATTGCGCATCGGTACGCCAGCCATGACGACGAGAGCTTTCACTGAGGAGGACTTCAGCCGCGTGGCCGACATTATTGACCGCGCCGTCACCATCGCTATTCGCGTCAACAAGAGCGCCAAGAAGGCGGCCGAGGAGAAGGGAGAGAAGAAGCCTGGTCTGTTGAGACACTACATGCAGCATCTTGGTGATGGTGAGAACGATCCCGAGATTGTTCAGTTGAGGTCCGAGGTGGCCGACTGGGTGGGCACTTACCCTTTGCCGTGGGACGCCCACTCTTCTTAAGCGATGCGATGAGACCAGCTCCGACGAGCTTATAGTTCATGGAAACTCGTCGTGAAATGGGCACTGGGCACGGGATCTCTTCTTCCTTTACGGCGTTCTATGGGGGCATTCTTGATGAGGACAGGCTTTGCGAGAACGATTTCGGTCTCATCGTTCCATCCAGCCTTACTGATTTTCATATCAAATACGGGTCTATATCCGTGAGGGTATCCACTTCCCCCAAACTGCATATGCATCGTTTAGGGGGGCTTGCACAGACCAATTAGCGTTGACAAAACTTGACCATCCTCAACGAGATGGTGGAATAGAAATTGCAGCTGCGGGAAAATCCGTTCTTAGATTCGTGCTTTATTCAATGATGGTTGTGACATTTCGTAAACTTATGTCTCTCACATAACCAAGCCGTTCACGGAAAAGGTAAACTATAAAGACCAGAGCTGTGAGAAAGGAAGGACAGTGTATGGCTACAAAGTGTAATTGGAACTATTCAAAGCTATCAAGTATGCGATGTCCGCTATCTAAACACTTCGTCCTCGAAGCTCGCCCTGCATCCTGAAACCGCCCTTTGTAGCTCAGTCTTTCTGCAACTTCTCGCCTGAGGGACTCTCACTCGGCTTTGATGCCTCGATCACACTTTCAGTCTTTGGGTCCGCCGATACAGCCCCAGTGGTATCAGGTTGGGTTGCATCAAGGACCTTGGCGGCAGACTCGGTGGACTTGATTCTCTCGTAGTACGCCTTCAGCTTCTTGGTCGCTTCCAGACTTTCGGTGTTGGCGTCCTTGGAGATTTCGTGTAACACCGGCCATACTGCAAAGTCGGCCAACGACATACTAGAGCCCGCAATGAAGTCGGCCTCACCTGCATATCCCTCCCAGGTGGCGAGTTCTCTCTTCAAGGGTGCGAGGTCACGCTTTCCTGACTTGCTGTCCTTCTCGAGCCCTCGCCACTTGTCGAGGAGCGCAAGGCCATCCTGGAAACGTGTGAATGTTTTCGCAACATCTATTTGCGACTTATCTGCCGCTTCCTTCTTTTCGGAGCCGTATACGGAATCCAGATAGAGCATAATGGCCAACTCGCCCTGAACCGTGGATTTTGCTACGTCATTGTCGACGAATCGAATCGGCAGCGATGCAGAAATAGCGGTTGGATCCTTGCCGCCGGTATTGCTGTCCTTCCAGTTGAAGGACGGCGAAATGCTCCCCTTGCCGTACGAGATGCCGTACTCGGCTAACATTAGGGCGATGCGCATGTTGGTGATAGGATCAGCCGAGGCGCAGAGGCGCGGCGAAGTGCTCATGTGCAGAACATCGAAACCCTTGCCATAAAACTTGTCCCAGTCGAAGTCAGATGAGTGGTTTTCGGTGCCAAAGGCGTGGACCATGTCGACGGCCTGTGGGCACTGACCGTTGATGACCGCTTGAGCCGCCTCTCTGTTCTTGCTGGTGGCCCCCTGACCCCAAATCAGGGTGCTATCCCGGTTCAAAAAGGTGCCAATTTGTCTAAAGGTGAGCGAGATGCGTCCGCCGTCAAAAGCCAACTCGGGAGGCGTCTTGTCTCGATCCATCCTCTTGTCCTGGCGGATGGCGTGCAGCCATCGACCGTTCGTCGCCAGGCCTAGGCGGCAGAGAGAGTTATGCGGCAGCTTGGCACGGCAAACCTGCCGCTGCAGAGAGACCTCGCCCGACGGCGTTGCGGTGCCGGACGGGTCCTTGTCCCGCCTCTTGGTCCTAAACACCATCGTGCGCTCCGCACCCAAGCTGACGTTGGCAATGTACGATCCCTTGACGATATCCAGGGTCTTGTCGCTGTGCTCGGAAATGTAGTCGGTGCCGCTGCGGTAGAACTGAATCAACACGTGGTTCAGCGGATGCCCGAGCTCCTTCTCGACCTCTGCCTTGATCTTCTGTACTGTAGGGATGAAGGGGAAGAGGGGAGGTGATTCGTCTGAGGGATGCCGATATACTGGCATGCTTCCATCGTCGGCTACTTCGCCTTGCACGGCGACCAACCGAGGGACCTCACCGCCCTGGTGGGACATTCTCTGCCATGAGACCTCGTCTCTCACCTTCTCGAAGATGCACTCGGCCATGGTCGAAGGGAGTATATTGTGAATGACGGTGGTGTCACCCTCGCATAGAGGTTCGGTAGCGTGCGGCGAGTCATCGACCTCAATTTTATCGTTCATGACAACAGGCTTTTTGGCTGGTTCTGGCTCTAAATCCGGGCCTGAGTCTGGCTCGAGTTCAATGTCGGACGTGGAAGATGCTTTCTCGCCGGCGATTTTCTTAGGAAGTTGTTGCTTCTTTATAGGTGTTTTCTCCGGTACCGAGTCTGTGTCTACTTCTATTTCCAGACTGCCCTTGCCTACCATTGGACTCTTTGATCGTTTGTGAACCTCTTTGTCGTCTGAGTCACTGACTGGACCCGCGTCCACATCCACCTCCAAAACATCGGAAGCGGTTGCACAGCCCAGACCTGACAAGTCTCGGCGTGGGCGTGAGATGGGAGGCTTGCTTGCTGAGGACTTTAAAGTTTTGATTGAAAGATTGGCCAACTGCTCTTCGAGTTTCGTCTTGTACGAATCAGCCGAGGGCGGCGTTTTAACACCACTGGCTTCCGCGATCCTCTTGGGCACGACGGGTGATGACGGGGCCGCCGGCTTTGACTCGGATTTGGGCTGCAGTTTCTTAATGACAGCCTCACTCTCCATCACCTCGCAGCCCGTCACCTCGACAAGCTTGGTTAATGAAGCGTTGTGACGTACATCGGAGCGGAAACCACAACAGTCTTCGACTAAGGTGATGGAATAGCCGAACGTGGCGGCATCCATAGCTGAGGCGTGGACGCCGATATTGGTGAGCGATCCGCAAATATAAAGCTCGTGGACGAACTTGACGCGCATCATCTGGATCAACTGGCCGGAGGAAAAGACCGAGTAATGTGACTTGGACAAGTTGATATCCCTCTTGCCGATTGCTTCCTTGACGGCGGCGGGATAATCGGCACCAGGGGTGCCAGAACGAACGACTTTGGGTCCAGGCTGGCTGAGGAAAGCCTCCGGGTCGGCATCGAAAGTTTCTTCGGGCGCTTGCTTAGATGCGCCTCCAATCCTTCTTCTAGCACGGGACTCGAGAATCTTGGGCTTGGGGATTGTGTCGGTAGCCCAGATCTGTTCCCCGGCGGCAAGGCGATACTTGTCGAATTCGCTGCGCACCCAGATAATATCGCCGACTTTGCGGAAGGCCTTTACCAGCTCTAGGGTACGTGTGACTAGTTCGTTGCCGTTTGTGACTGGTAGGGCGCCGTCGGCAGACATGAAATCGTTGTTGAAGTCAATCACCAACAGACCCTTGCGCGTCGGTAGCGTGGGCATGGCGGTCACATCGAAAGGAAACATCTTGGCGGGAGTTGGACCAGGCCAGACTTGTGATGGTGACCGGGTGGTGAATATCAGATGGTGTTCAGGGCGACGGGACCTCCCTGCCTTTCCTTCTCTCGAATTGGGTTTATCGAGTTGGTTGAAGTGCAGTAAATTATCCCATAAGCTTATCCAATGTCGGAAAACCAATCACCTCGGTACTGCCAAGATGCCGCTGTTTCCAGTACACAAAATGCTGCAGGCTTCATCAGTTCGCTGTCTTGGTCGTATGTAGAATTGGGGCCGAGAGTGACCGTACGGTGAGTGAAGAGAGGATACCGTAAGGAAAGCAAGCGGGACAGAGGCCGAGGGCTTTCTGATCAGTCGTCGTGAAAATATGCTGTGTCCTCGGTAGCGTACTATTACGTACCGACCATCGCACTCGAAGGTTGATGAAGTGTGAGCCGGTGAAGTGAGTCTTTGAATTGGGCGAGACCGTAATCGTGCAACTGAGGGTTGAAGCGCAGGGCATTGGGTTGGGCGCCTGCTCGAATCGGCTCTCGTCCGATATGGAAGTGGGTCCAGCGGGGAGCTACCTAGGTAGGTAGGTAGCGACCTATGAACAGCGGGGCCGCGAATGTGATACGCCAGCCCAGCAGTAAGCTATTTTGTGTCTTCTCATTTTCGAACGACTTCCGCCTGGTATAAAATTCTTCATTCGGGGATCTCAGCTCGCGATCTCGGGCTAGACTGAGTGCTATATAGAGATACTATGGCAAATTCCAGCTATATAACGGCTCTTCGCGGGGCAAGCTGGGGTTCCTGCCGGTGGGGAAGATGATAGGTTCAACTTTTCCCAGGCCATGCTTAGAGGAACGGACGGCGTGCGGGCCACGTTGAGGGAAATTGAGCACGCTGTAGGCCGGGCGGATAACTCCAATAATCAATAGTCGTGACGGAGGTACAAATTGTATCACGGAAAGACAAGAAAACGGGGATTGGTGGTTGAATACGCTAATTAATCGTGTCGGTCACGGTTCGACGCCGCACTCCTTTTCCAGCACGACCGCCAGTCAGTCCTCCTTTGCCCCATAGCACGAGACAGGAGAAGTGACAACTCCTTAGAGTAGACTGGCGAGATACTCGTAATGCGCCATACAGTTGTGTTCCTCGGTGATCACCATCGCTCCATTGAGCCAGCTTCTACCTGGGATGGATGTCAGTAATCTTCAGTGAGCCTACACAGGTAATCAAACTCACCAGCATCGACCAACCTGTTAAGATTGGCCTTGGATTCCGTGGTTTTACCACCCCAAATGAGTCTGTGAATCGTCAGCGTTGATGAGACATCGCTCCCTTCGAAGAGCATGCATACCTCTGGTGCTCATAAGGGTTGTAATCGTGGTGGGTTTGGCCAAGGCCATCAGAGAACGTCCTGATGTGTATATAATGCGCCTTGAATTTGCGCCCCAGCCACGAAGTCTTGCCCACGACGAGACCAACATGAGAGCAAGAATAGGTGTCCATCATCCAGCGCCCCTTGTTTGTTGTAGCACGGTTGTAGTCGCCTTCGACCATCTCGTTGCAGTTCATGAAGTAGTAGTAGGTGCCGGCGGAGAGGCTACGTCCAGCGGCCCGCCTAGCCTCTTCGTAGGCACTCGCCGAGTCGCGCGAGAGGAGCTTCGCCAAAGACACCGAATCAGCCGTTTCGAATACTTCGCCAGCGTTGCGAACTTGTACATCGACATTGGTCAGGTCCGTGGCCAGAGGCACAACGCTGGCGATCGCCGCGGTGCAGTAGGTAAAGAGGGCGAAGAATTTCATGATTGCAATGTGATGCTCTTTGGAGAGAGAAATCATTCGGCTTGGAAACACACCTTAATGGCCGGCAAAGCGTTTAAGTTTTATAATTCGATTATACGAGTCCATTTTCTTCCTCCTCGCATAGTTGAACTCCTCTCGGATGGCCCGAAATTGGGAAGCGCACTTGGCTCAATGAACAATCTTGGATTAAGTTTTGCACGCTGAGTAGGATATCTAAGTAAGTTGAGTGAATATAAGGGCCCGGTCATGGATCAGGTGTCCCTTGGTCGGTGACCCGCACTGCCGGCTCCGTGTCCACCGGAGTCGCCGGTGCTCCCGGCATTCAATTCGGAAACCCTTACCTATGCTAGCTTTCCCGGCCACCCATGCGCGCTTATTTGAAAAAGGCTGAATACAGCTGTCAGAACGATTTAGTCCAAGTACAGCATGCTTTTTAAGATGATTTAGAGCGCGATGCAGAGATACACTCAGTCGCATAGAAGGCCGGCAGTTGCGTGAATAATGGGCGGAGCGCTGAAGACGAAGTTGGCACGGCGCGCTTGGCTGTCAGTGATCTATTGACGGGCAGCGGCAGTGAGATATAATCATTACCTGATCAATTGGGCGAACATGAGCCCGGATACTGCAAATGACTAGACAACTCATTTCAATCTTGGAAAAGGTGGAACCACAATTACACTCTAGCACTCAAAAAAGGATTCAACAACTCACAGCACTTATTTTAGCCTTCACACCAAGACGATCATACTCACCTTGATATATAATTTCTGCTCCCAAAGCACCGGTGGTAATATCCGGGTGCTATAACTCGTCTGGGCAAAATCACGACTCCGGTTTGCTCTTAGTCAGTCCCTGGAATGATCGGGAGGTAAGAATGTTTTCAACACTGACAGTTGAAGCCCATAGCTGTTTACTCTTTATAATCTTCCGTCTATCCTAGTTTTCTCTCACCAAGAATCCTGTATGAAGCATCAACTCGGCTCGTCTCATCACAATGCTGTCTCATCCTCTCCTCTCTCTCCTCCATCTCCTTCCCCTGTTAGGCCTAGCCACCTCAAGTCTACTGCCCCGCGGCAAAGACATAGCATTCGGCGACAAATGGAAAAACCACAATGAAATCATCGCGCTCCGTCCGCGTGCCGACGAGGACCTGCTCGGCGACATTGAGCTCAAATTCGCGCCCTTCCTATATTCATGGCACGGCTGTATCCCGTACCCTGCAGTCGATGTCGACGGCAATCATGGGTAGGTAATTACTGCTAGCAAAAGCTGCATTCGCTGATCTCAATCGCCTACCAGGAGAGGCTTGAAGCCTACCGGTGACGCCGGCGGTGATTGCCGCGACTTCAAGCAATCCGGTCAAACATACTCACGAGTCGGAAAATCCCATGATAGATGGGCGGTCTTATACAGCTACTATTTGCCCAAGGTCCAGGGGAAAGAAGAGCAGCATCGACATCACTGGCTGACTGTTGTCGTCTGGCTTGCTTTTGACACATGCCCGGATGATGCCAGAGTTTTCTCTCGTCGTGGCGTGAGCTACTCTACCAGCCCCGGCAACTTCGACACCACCAGGTCCAACACCCTCTTCACCGATGATGAGTACGGCCTTGGGACTCACCCTATCGTGGCGTACGATGCTGGCCAACCCATCTTCCCCTCCAGCTCAGGCCCGGACGGTGCTCTGAGACCCCCTCTGGTGGGCTGGCAGAGCCTCCCCGGTCTCGTCAAGGAGCAGTTCAATGGCATGCAGTACGAGCACACCAAAGTTCCCTTCAGCGATAACAATTTCCAGAACTTCCTGGATGCCGCCTACTCCGACGTCTTTTACAAAGACGTGCCAACTGGCCAGGAATGCGGATCCGACGACCCGCCTCAGTCCGAAATCGACCCGGACTTTGGTGAGGCCCTACCGACTTCCACAGCCCCGGTTGCGGAACCTACTGACGACGGTCTTCGCTGATGAACTGCTTGTCTTCCCTGCTGCGCCGAATATTGTACACAGATGGCATGTATGACTAGGCAAAATTTACTAGAGCAGTGTACAGTCGTGGTAGCCATGCGTGCTCGCTTTCTATAAATCAATTTGATCTCATAAACACATGTTTGATACACATTGATCTGACTATTATTACCCAAACTCTCAACTAATGTTCACGAAAGATAAAGAGCATCCGAGGATACCGTGTATGGGTTTATCTCAACTCCCAAGACATGCCATCTGTCTTCATCGTCCGTCGAGAGTCCTTTTTTTGTAGTTGCCATAAAACAGGTGCACCTCTGATCAGCCCACATTGAAGCGCAAGACGGGCGTGACGGAGTAGGATTTAGGAGGCTGGCATACCTTGTCGTCATCTTGAAAGTCGGGCTAGGAAGGGTAGAAGTTTCGTATCGTTAGAAGTAACCTATCATACGGGTGTTAAATCCTACTCCATTAATGAACAGCACCTCAACTATCTGAAGACAAGCACTCCAGGTGTCTACTTTCACCAGCCGGGTCTCTGTACTACACATCAGTCATGACCGCAAACTTAACAGAAAAGCTCAACAGTCTGCTAACAATTGCAGAAGTCCCGAAACTTATCCAAGTAATGAACCTCAATCGCATTATCTTTCCACCTGGCGACTCTTCAAAGAAAAGCTTACTAAATGAAGATGGTTACTCTAAGTATTGTTTTGGATGAAATCTAAATGCGTCTAAGTCTAGGTTATGTCTAACTCTATAGCCCCATGCCTCATCCCCGTCGTATCTCTTGCTTCTATTCATTATGAAGACTCCATCTACTCAACTTCAGGTGAAGTTCGCACCTGCACAGCTGATGTGTCCTTGCCTAGAAACCTCTCTTGGACCCGCCATGCATATCTCGCCGCATGGAACCCCAGAGGCCGAAACAACAGGCTAAGATCGCCTTTTCAGGCTGTTGGGGTTCATGCCAATGCCTGGAGAGAATCGACGACGCCAGCAAAGGTAGGTCTCTCAGAGACGACTGAGTTGGAGCAGCGGATGTGTAACTCCCGCAAGCGTTGTAGAATCTGCTTTCTTTCACCACTCTCCTCGACATGAGCAACACCAATCATGTCATCAATGAGGTGAGCGAATGCAAGTATCTCCAGCTTCTCAAAGTTGAATCTGCCGAGGTGCTCGTAGATCGTCGCTGCGCCAAAGTCGCCCAACAAAGCGTGTCCGTGATCGTTGAAGAGAATGTTATGCGCATATAGATCGCAGTGAGAAACTTTCCGGCTGTGAAGGTGAAGAGCAGCTGCGGCAACGCCACCCAAAAGCTCAAGAATAACCTTGACTGACAATTTCTTGCCTGGTGCATACCGGTCTCGAGTGCAAGTATCCAAGGAAGGCGGCAGGCCGAGACTCTGATAATGGGGAGGAATGAGCTGCATGATGAGGCCGTGCTTCTCTGGATGGCCCTTGATGCTGGCCAATGTGCTGATGAGATTGTCGTGCGAACCTGCTGCCAGGCAGGCGCCCATCTCATCTAGCGGTGTCCCATCGCTCGTCACCTCCCCCTTGAACAGCTTCACGGCTACCTCTTCTACCACCGAGTCGGCGAGCATCCACCTCGCTTTGAAGATATCGCCAGAGGCTCCGTGGCCCAGCAACTCCCTCATTTCAACATCCTCCCAGTCCACTTTGCGCAGCAGAGCAAGCTCCTCCTCGAGACTGATCGAGCAATAGGGATTGCCGGCAACAGACAGAAAGGCGAGTTCGGGGAGTTCAAACAGCCATTTTGGCAAGTCAGAGAAGTTATTGGCGGAGAGGCGGAGTAGGCCAAGTTTACTGCAGACCGCCATGTCATCCGGGAGGCTTGTGAGATTGTTGCCGGCAAGCATACACTTTTGGAGCCGAGAACAGCGGCCGATGCTTCGGGGCAGTGCCTCGATGCTATTGTTCGTGAGGATAAGCCAACGCAGCTTGGGTGGCAAGGAACCTTCTGGGATAGTCGTCATGCCGTTGGAGCGGAATGCCACCATATCCAGTTCGGGGCACTCTGATAGCTGTTTGGGAAACACGGCGAACCGGCAGTCGGAAAAGAAGGCGACCTTGAGCTTGCGCAGCCTGCTGAAGTCATCGGGGAGAACAGAAATCCCGGTCCCGGAGAGGTCAAGATGGTCGAGGGTTTCAGCTAGATCTAGGATTTCCGAGGGGAAATGGTCTAAAGTGCCGGTGATTTTGAGCTTTTGCAGACCTTGGCCGCGATAGCCTCCATTGCGCAGAGTTTCAAGATCCTGCATTATTGCAATAGCCACTGGACGGGTGAGCGATTTTATTTGGTGTTACCGAAGTGACAGATAGAAACCCAATCCCACCCCTAAGCCAGTTCGGAGAGGGTTAAGGAAGTAAAGACAACGACAAAGGCAAAAGAGAGCGACACAAGTTACGAAGGCTACTGAACACTAGGACATTGAAATTATGAGGAAGTCTAAGGTATTGTTGGGTCGTGAAAGGGGTGCATCGAGGCGCTTGACTCAGATAAGATAGTGAGCACAGGCTGGCTGAGATGGGTCTCCTTGCATTAATTAGACTATGTAGGGTAAGGTGAGTAAAGATACGAAGTCCTCCTGTTTTACACGTGTGTCTGCTATTACCTAGCTGAAAGACAAAGGGCGAGCTTTTTGTCGCTAGACAGTATCCTCTGTGTCTCTGCGAAAATGTAAATGCATAAGAGTGCATTTTTGACTTGAGAATAGTAATGAGAGTATCTGAGGTAAAGTGAATGACAAAAATGCTCAAAGACCTCCCCTTGGATAGTACGTGGTTTGATGATGCCACATCTTGCGACGAGATCGTACTTCGGGATCTGACGCGGAAAAACACCGCTCTGGGCTTGCGAGTGGTCAGTAATGCGATAAAGAGATAAATGTCATCGAGATAAATAATCTCTTCCCGAGTCGTTTCCTTTTTCTGGTAAAAGTGTTGGACGTCCACCTTGGATGTTGATGTCCAGGTCATCCATCACCCATCCATGATTGGCTTAGGGCCCCTAGGCGCTGAAAGGGGTCTCGAAGGGTGGATGCAAGTCCGATTACAGTGGATGGTGAGCCGCGGGGCAACTGCCGAGCCCCAGAAAGACTGAGAAAGAGCCTCATCCCAAATCCCTTTTTTTTTTTCTCATTCGTCGGTACGTACCCATTCTCGCGCGCAACGTACCTACCTTAGGTAGCTTACCTAGCTCATGTACCTTCCGTCCGAGGCGCAAACAATCTCGAATCTCGGACCTCGAACAACCTCCTCTCACCAACATCGCGTCTTCCTCGCCCAAGGCCCAGATCCAACATTTGGAGCGCGCGCCGTATACATTACCGTCGCGCATTTCTCTACCTTAATCTATAGAAGTGTCCAGACTCTTCTGTTCTTGACATCTGCGCGTACATTTGCGACCTCGCCGTGACACGCCTCCATCACCCTCGAGCTCTGTTCGACGTCGGCCATGTCTTCACCTTCCGCGGCAACGACTCCGATCAAGCGGAGCTCGTCTAGTGAAGATGAGAACCCAATCATCAAAAGACAGAAGACGAATAGCGACGCGGCAAAAAGTTACCCTGCCGCCGACGATGAAGAGCCAAGCCTGCCTGGCGCGACAAAAGTCACCATTCCTTCTTTGGATTATCAAGCAAAAAGTGGCCTCGAAAGAAGTATAGGACTGGCACTACAGCAAGTTGGCTTTGATTCCGCTACCCCGGAAGCGATGCAGGGCTTCTTGGGGGCCGTAGAGACCTGTGAGATTACGAGACGTTGTGTGAAAACTGATGCTTTTCGGCGCTGACTCGACGTCCAGACATGGCCTCCATGATCGCCGATGCCAAACGTGTCGCTCTAGCAGCACGAAGGGAGCAGCCGACTCCAGCGGACTTCGAGTCCACGATGCGACGCTACACTCTGAAGACGAAGGCGCTGAGGCCTCACCTCCGTCATCCCGTACCAAAAGCGAAGCTAGACGTGGAATATTTTAATCCTTTGGTCGATGATCCGGATGCGTACACAACTTTACCTCTCCTCGGCGAGGAGCTGAGCGGCAAGCCCGAGAAGGAAGCCAAGTCGTACATACCAAAGTCCTTCCCCGACTTTCCCAGCAAACATACCTACAAATACACACCCAAGGAAGATGACAACGGTCGTGACCCCCAAAAGACAAGGGAAGAGGCGGCCAAGGCCTCGAAGCAAGGAGAGGAGGCCCTTCGAGGCCTGGTCAGAGCGGCAAAGGTCCGAAAGCAGAAGGAAATCAGATCTCTGTCGGAGCGCGATCCTATGACCAAGGAGCGCTATTCGCTTTGGGCTGCCGCTATGGAAGGTTTCGTCAAAAAGGAAGGCGGCGCCACCGGCCAACAACTCGAGATTGCCGATCATAGCATGATTGTCAACTCGGACGCCCGGCATTTGCGCAGGGAAGTGCAGCGACAAAGCAAACGAGCCGCCGGGCAAAGCTAGTCGTCCTCTCTCGGTAGAGGCCGGAAGCGCGAGTCCAGTGCTTCCAAGGACGACCACATAATCAAAAAGGATGAGCAATGATCAGAACTTATGGGCTTGGGTTGCATAGGCCAGTGTGTCGGGTGCCAGTCAAGGCAGACACAGGAATTGGTTGTTTTGGGAAATGGACATGCATTCAGCAAGGCGTTTGGGTATTTCATCGTGTGGACGAGTTCCAGCAGATTACATCATTTCTTGGCCGAGAATGAAGATGGGACGCAGGAGGAGGATCATACGATTATCCGGTTGAGCACTTTACAGCGACCGCATGGATAAAAGCAAAGCTGTGAGAAACTTTGCGTAGGCAGCTAGCGAATCATCAAGATTACCCTTAGTTTTATCAGCAATCCCAGAGCGCTTAGCAGTAGCTCCCCGCATAACAGGTTATGATGTGACTAGGAGAAACCGAGGATACAACAGTGGTCATGGACGAGAGTCGGGAGCGTTGGCATTCATTTGATTCAAGTCGTGAGAGTGAGCTTTGGGTTCGTGGAGACCACATCTGAATAAGAAACGCGTACATCTGCGGGAAGTTCGCCAGTCATGGACTTGTCATATTGCGATCAAAGATAGGTGAACAGCTGCTATTCTGCGAGCCCCTGCAGCGAGTGACATGCAGAATTGAACTTCCTGTGATGGGCCCGAAACATATGGCTATCATTCTTCTGAGGTTGGTACTAATGTACCGTCCCTTTCTGTTCGACTATGGGGCCAATCAGCCTCGTGTCAGCATTTCAGAAGAAGTGTAGCTACGAGCGATCCCCATTGGCTCGAGCCCCACCTCGATTACCCACACCAAGCGCAGCAGGAGCAAGGCTGGCGCTCTTTCCACCTGCCAGGCCCTAAGCGAAGTTTGCTAATTTTTTTCACCCACACCCAAAATCCGGAATCTCAGCTCAAGCTCCCCAAGGGTCAAAGGTGTGACGCTCAGAATCAACTCCAATCTTTCTACCTTTCCCTCACCACTCAATCGACCTGATTGCCTCATTTCCCAATGGCTGAGCAGTTGATTCTCAAGGGTACCCTCGAGGGCCACGTAAGTTGTTGCCGTCTCACTTGCCCGCACGCCGCAGCGTTGCGCCGGTCATTTTTGCGTTGTGCTTGAGGCTGACGGCGATGCTTTTTGCAGAATGGCTGGGTCACCAGCCTGGCTACCTCCATGGAGAAGTACGACCATTCCTACAATCCTCTTCATTTGCGATCACCCCTACCTGGCTACCGCTGCCGCCGACGTTGATTTTCGAGAAGGATGGGATTCTTCGAAATGGGCAACGACATGCGAGCCTTTGCACAGTGGCGGCGGCGGGGGAGGAGGCCGAGAATCTCGAAAGACAGCAATCGCTAACATTTCGACAGCCCCAACATGCTCCTGTCCGCTTCCCGTGACAAGACTCTGATCATCTGGAACCTCACCCGTGACGAGTCCCAGTACGGTTACCCCAAGCGCTCCCTCAAGGGCCACTCCCACATCGTCTCCGACTGCGTACGTCTCTCGAACCCCTCCGATTTCTACGAAGAATCTCCTTCGCCCTCTTTGGCGGGGCTAGGATCACTGGGAACTCTGGGCTGATGGGAAGGAAAATAGGTTATCTCCTCGGACGGCGCCTACGCCCTGTCTGCCTCTTGGGACAAGACTCTCCGCCTTTGGGAGCTTGCCACCGGCACCACCACCCGCCGCTTTGTCGGCCACACCAACGACGTTCTGTCTGTCTCCTTCTCCGCCGACAACAGACAAATCGTTTCTGGCTCCCGCGACCGCACTATCAAGCTCTGGAACACCCTCGGTGACTGCAAGTACACCATCTCCGAGAAGGGTCACTCCGAGTGGGTTTCCTGCGTCCGCTTCAGCCCCAACCCCCAGAACCCCGTCATTGTCTCCTCCGGCTGGGACAAGCTCGTCAAGGTTAGTTTCAAACACCCCCTTCTATGTTTTCCAGGAAACATCGCCACAACAACTCGATTCGACGTGATGCTTGCAACCAAAGTATTTGCTACTTCAGAGCCTGCCGTGCAGGCCATGAGACCACTATTCACCATTGCCCTGATCTCGCACCTTCAATTTTTATTTTTTGCCGTGTGGAAAATTCCATATAGATCAGAATGGCTGACAAGGGCAAATTTCTAGGTCTGGGAGCTCAGCACCTGCAAGCTGCAGACTGACCACATCGGCCACACCGGCTACATCAACACCGTCACCATCTCCCCCGATGGATCCCTCTGCGCCTCCGGTGGCAAGGACGGTACCACCATGCTTTGGGACCTTAACGAGTCCAAGCACCTCTACTCCCTCAACGCCAACGACGAGATCCACGCCCTTGTCTTCTCCCCCAACCGCTACTGGCTCTGCGCTGCTACCGCCAGCAGCATCATCATCTTCGACCTTGAGAAGAAGAGCAAGGTTGATGAGCTCAAGCCCGAGTTCACTGCTGTCGGCAAGAAGAGCCGTGAGCCTGAGTGCGTGAGCTTGGCCTGGTCCGCCGATGGCCAGACCCTGTTCGCCGGTTACACCGACAACATCATCCGTGCCTGGGGTGTCATGTCGAGAGCATAAACGGGCGTGAAGCTCTCTTCTGTTCTCTCTCTCTGGGTTATGCGATGATGGTGACGAAGTGTGGTGGGGAAAGGGCTCTCTTGGTAGATCATGGCGGGCGTCCTAGGCTGGCTTCCTCGTTATGTCTTTCGGGATGCGCAGGGTCAAAACGATTTGTGAAAAATTGGGGATGAGACTGCATGGCTGGCTTATAGGTAGCCCACGAAAGGACTCGGACATGAACCCGTAACGCCCAAATCAAAAGATCCTGGCAAACTCAAAAAAATCCTGTTTCTCGTTCATTCAACTCGTGATGTTGACTTGGTCAGCTCACACTCGCATCAATCCTGCCTCTGCCTTGAGTGATGACTGTGAAAACTCGTCCTTCAACGTCACGTCTGTAGACTTGACATTTTAGCAACGACTATCCCCCCATATTATGCAGAACACAGGGTAAGCAACTACCTTCATGATGAGCACGGTGGCCTTCTTGCTGTGAGATGTGATGACCGAGTCTCTTTCTCGTATGTTGTATAGTCGCAACTTTTTCAAGACCCATGCCCCTCACTGGATCACTTAGAATAAGACACGAATGATACAGATATATGAAGACTTGGCATTGTATATATACGAAGAGAATTTAACTAAGCCATGTGTGAAAGACAAAAATTCAGCAGAGGCCCCCTTTCTCAGCACAATGAAGGGTTCTCGCTGCGGTCAACATGGCCAGAGTAGCGGAAGCCTTTCTTTCCCATTTAGAAGGCAGGCTTGGCGTTCTTGAGCAGCATCTCAAAGTAGGCCTGGTTCCAGGTACCAGCCTCGGGAGATGGCTTGTAGGCATCCGACTTGCCGCAGAACGAGTCGTAGCGCGTGGCGCTCGAGTCGCTGGTGCCGTCGGACTCGCCGCCGGGCTTGACCCAGACGAAGGCGTCGGCGAGCTCGAGGCCGGTGCTGCCGCTGGGGCGGAGGCCGAAGCCGGCGCCGTTGACGTTGCACCAGTCGCCCCACTCGAGACGGAGGCCCTGAACGCCGTTGCGGCCCGTGTCGACGATGGCGTGGTTGGGCATCCCGGCCGTCTGAAGGGCGGCGCCGAGAAGGGTGACGTACTTCTTCTCGTTCTGGGCCTTGTTGTACTGGCCGTCTGGGGCGTTGGCGAATTCACCGGGTTCGGCGTCCCTGTAAGTACGCGATGTCAGTGAAATGGCTCTCGCTGCGTTGTTTCCTACTTTTCAAAGGTTTGAGCATATGAGCTAGACTTACCAAGAGTTCCATCCGGCAACGTTGGTGGCGATGCCTCGAAGCTGCGAGGGGCTGCCGCCGGCCTTGTATGCCTTGGCGAGCTCTTCGGCACCAGGCTTGAGGTTGTCGTTCCACTATGAATCCAGTCAGACAACATGATCAGGATATGGAAAGCAAGACTGTGCGAGAACATGTCGCTTGGACGGATGTGATGATGAACTTACCCCAAGCCAACCTCCGTGGCCAGCATCGAGATACATGACGACGTTGGGAAGGTTGAGAGCCTGTATGGCGTATGCAACGCCATCGCGGTAGCCCGATGCCGAGGCCTGACAGGTTGCGAGGTTGGCGTTGGTGACCAAGTTGGGCAAAGAGTCAGGCTCGATGACGAGAGCAAAGGCGGTCTTGGGGTTCGCCTTCAGGATCTTGACAATGGGATCAATGTACTCCGTCTTGTAGCGGCTCAGCTCGCCGACTTTGAGCTCGCCGTTGGAGGCCTTGGCAGCGCAGTCACGGCCGGGGAGATCGTAGATGACCAGACCGAGAATGTTGTTGCAGGGAACATCAGCGATGGCGGGCGTGAGACGCTGGATGTTGGCAATGGTGTCACTGCATTGCTGCAATATCAGTATCATATTGCGTAAGGAAGGGCTCGTAGATGTCCAACATACAGCCAGAGGAAGGAGCCGATGTCAGCAACCTTCAGGGCCTTGGCCTTGAGCGTACTGTCCGAGATGGCTGCAGCTGCAGCCTGGATCTCTGCACGGTAGAAGCTGTTGGGGTGTAAGGTGTACTTGGAAAAGACATTGGTCTTCGCATCCAGGGAGACGTTAGCAGAGCATGCAGCGGCTGCTGCCCGAGGTTGCTCCTTGATCGTCTGAGAAGGGGCAGCAATGGCTGTTGAGGCCAAAGCCGCCAATGTAGCGGCGGTGAACTTCATCTTGATGATAATAATACTCTCTTAAGATGATGAGCTCTGTAGTAGCGATGCTGAGATTCTGATGAGAGCCATGATTGCACTGGGAGCCATGACACTATTTATCTACACTGGTAATACCTTGAAAGAATGGTCAACCTCCGAAGTCTTGCATTTTGTTCATCCCTGAACCTCTGAGTAACGGCAATCAGGCACCAGGCCCGGTGGCTGTATTGATTTCGGTCTCAAGCCTCCGAATCAAAAATGTCCAGCCAAGGGAGCGGTTCCCATGGGCAAGGTGATGGGCTCTGTCACGACTGCAATCAGACAAAACTCATGCTACGCGGTGTCCACCAAAGCACCTCACGATCAAGGGTTCTCGATGCAAAGATCACCGCCAGATTGACAACTTCATCTAATAATCAAGGAATGATTGGCTTACGAGTCTAGTATTATGGTTAGAGCACCCAGAACATTGTGGTATTTGCAATATTAGAAAATGTCACCTCGTCAAACCAACCTCCGTTTCGACCATTCGAGAGCAGATCTCCTATTCTGCACAATTATCCCAAACGTGGACGAGTGATGGTGCCATCCGACTTGGCAGATTTCCTCGAGGACGGGCCGTCTTAACCGGATATCGTAAGATATCCAGTACTCCCGGCGTAATTGTTTTACAATGGCGAGCAGTAGGTGCAGAGATTTTGATGCTCTAGTAAACCTTGCAGTTCACTTGCCTTTTCCGGTTGTTTTAACCTAACCCCATCACTTTGTTTTTGAGTACGTGTTATATAGCAAAAACACATGAAAGTGAAAGAAAATTGAAGCAGACCTAGTGCGCATATTCGAAATCGATGTTGCCCTAAGAATTGCAGTGCCATACGGCGAGTCTAATTATTTCAGACACCCCAGAGCCTCCAGTCAAAACGGTATTACCCCAAGCAGACGAGGTGGCTAATGACCAATCCTAACTAAATTGATTCGTTCCTCTAGAGTTCCCGACGACAAAATAAAGTGTTACGAGCTAGGGTGGTAGTCATCACTTTAGCCGGCAACAACCCCAGATCAGCGGGGGGACAATCCTCGTGCTGAGTGCTTAATTTCTCCTTGGCCGGCTAAAAACTCCGATCCTGGCTTCACGGCTTGGCTACTTCAACTGTAAATTGGTCAGATGCCGCCGGATGAAACCTCCTCTATTCGCCTCCGAAGTTAGAATGGTGCGACAATTCATTGATATTAAATGCTGCCATGCGGCCCCGGGCTCAACCTCGTTAGGCAGGAGACAACTGTCAGCATGACAAGCAATAAAGAATTCGGTGCTTATCAATCTGCCCGAAGAGTCACCTGGATAAGTGAAGGCCATGCGTCGTAGCCCCGTGAACCTCGTTTAACCCAATCTGAGGTTGCTTGATAGTTCGGAGCTTCATACTATTCACGCAATATACTATTTAATTGGAAGTTCGAGACAACAACCTAGTTGATCTTGAGGCAGCATCCCGATAGAGGGATAAAAGAGGCATTGGGCGTGTGAACATGGTTTCTAGAGGCGACTGAGAAGGAGCTCAATAAATATAGACCAATCACCTAGGTCTAATGCAAAGATAGAGTCGACTCGTGGTCTGGTATAAATGTCAAAGCACCGCGAGACACAAGCACATTGCGATCAAAGGGGGACTTGCGGATAGGGCATAAGCCATTCCCTTGTGCCTTGCTCAACGAAACTACAGTGAACGAATCCCAATAGAGGTGGAAAAATGCATTACGATGCTTTTGTAGTTCAATTCGTGGAACGTCATTTTACCACGTCCAATCACCCCCTCTATGAGTTTCTGGTGACTTCTTTCCGCTATGTTACATTTGTGTCAATGGTGACACCGGGGCTCTTGGCCACTGCCAAGGTATGGCTATCCTAGCGAACAGCGATGGCGAACAACTCGAAGCCAGACGAGAAGTTGCTAGCGCAGGTCGTTCTTTCCGATAGTGCCGGCTTGTCAAATAGCATCCTTACATGAAAGGAGGCAGAGAGAACGGGTAGCCACCGTTCTTGATGCGGAAAACGCTGAGAAGGAAGCTGTACATGATGAACAGAACACCACCCCAGGCCAGAACAGCAACCTGCTGTCTCTTGTTGTCGCCAATACGAGGCACCTTAACGGTGAGAGAGATGGCACAGAAAGCCAAGACACCGTCTACTTTTGATTAGCTTTTAGACTTGACGTGAAGGGGGGTGTAAACAAACAGATAGCAGCTACGATCTGGGTCTCCAAACCGAACTGGTTCTGGAAGCCACCGGCAAAGTAGCTGATACCACCACGGCCATCTCCAGCAACATAGGGAACTTTGCGGATATGGTTGAACATGTGGCCACTGGTGAAGAGCAGGATGGCAATGAGACTAATAGCGGCCCACAAGTTGCGGTTCTGAATGACGGGAAGGATGTAAGGCGAGGCAGTAACGAGGACAGTGCCAAGACCAAGGACAATGGTGATGCTAGAAATCCATCGCATCCAGTTGATCGGGCGCTTCACCGGAGGGTGAGGTCGGTCAGTAAGGTGTCTCGACAGCCAGGCATGAACCTGTTCAGCAGACTGAGGTCTGTTTTGAGTCGTTAGCTTATTCTACGAGGTACTCCGTTCTTGAGACAGATAGCTTACCCGCTGGTAAAGTCGTATTGCAGAGGATCGACAGCAGCAACAGCGTGAGGACCGATGGTGGGCTGGAACAGGAGCAGGACGGGGGCGGTTTGGAGGCCGAGCTGGTAGTGATCGTATTAGTTCTTGGCCGAGTCCATTGTCACCTGGTTCCGGGCTGGGTTTTCCTACCGACATGAAGACCTCGCGGCCATCAGAGAAATCGAGAGTACCGAAGAGAAGGCGCGACTCGCCCTTCTTGTCACCCTTGGTCCAGGTCTTGCCCAGAAGATCCCATTCCGGCTGGAACTCGCGGCACAATTGGCAACCAAATCGATTCTCGAGAGCGGTCAGGAGGACTGCAACGGTGTAATCGCGGGGAGCAGAAGTCAAAGACTTGTAGCTGGTATCGGCGAGCTTGATCGGAGACGAGGTAAGGGCCTTTGCGTGGAAATCGTTGAATCGTTCTTCGGGGGTCTTCTTGGCTGCGAAGGCGCCGGCAGCGAGAAAGGTTCCCGCTAGGAGGGAGCGAAGGAAGTGCATTTTTAGGGATGCGTCGGTGATTCAGACGCAACAATAGCTTGGGAGGCGATCGAAAGGTTGAGGATGTGGCCAATTGGCCGTTGCTGGTGATATTGAAGTCGGGCTGGCGTAACGAACTGGTGCGCGCCGCGAGTGTCGTCGAGATGCCACACACTGCTTCAACAGCTCGAACTGGACAGCTCTCAACAGCGGCAGACAACCCACAGAGAAGTGGGTCAAGTCTCAAGGTTGTGTACGTATCGTTCCTGTTTTGGCTTAAGTACGAAAGGTACGGTAAGGTACCTCGATTGGGGTGTGGAAGGAAAGCACGATCGGGGCTGTCGGGGGTAGCTCGCTCGGATTCGGATTTTGGTTCTTCCTAGGGGAAGCAGGTACCCTGAACTATCCCAGTGTTATGTCACCCTGAACCGTCAAACCGTTGACCGAGACATCAGCGTACGGAGTACATACTACGTAGTTCAGAAACTGTGGAGACAGTCTGCCTGGAGCCGGGGGGGGGGGGGAGCGTCGATGAACTAACTGCTTTGGGAACCATGTTTACCTTGCCCATTGGTACTCCATTTCAAAATCAACCCAAACACACCACCATCTCAACATCGACATCGCGAACCTCAATCGATTTACGCGCGGGCATCTCCACTATCGCGCATTGTGGTGAAGGAAGACTTCTGAACCATAACGCCGTAGCTTCAAGCGACACAACACCTCTTTAGGGGCCTCCGAATCCAACGCGTCAACGCGCTTCCAGCGCAGAAGCAACTGCACAACACCGCCATTATGCCTTGCAAGACTAGGAACATGGACTCGGAAGAGGTAAGTCTAGTAGTCGGACAGCAAATAATGGTATGTCTCTAACTTCTCACACAGAGGGCCGCTGCGGCTCATGAGCTCGAGATGAAACACCAGCAACACATCCACAAAGCACAACTCATCGTCAAGGAGGAAGACACGCGAAGACAGAAGGTCACCAAACAAGTTCTTCTCGATGAGAACGCGACATTACGCGAGCAGCTTGCCGAAAGGGAAGCGCAAGTCAACCAGTTGTCCGAAAAGTTCGACCAAACGTGCAGTGACTTGGAATCATTAAAGGCGACAAATCGCGATCAGGACACACAGCTTAAGGCTCAGAAGAGGGAATTTGGTCACATCAAGGTTGGTGTGAACGCCGATTCGGAAACACCCGACGAACTATCCTAACCTCGAATGTGCCAGGCCGAACTCGAATCCCTCAACAGCCTGTCTCAAGATTCTACGAAAGTCCTTGCAGAGAAGCTTGCCCTCTCTCGGGAGGTGAACGCCATGAAACCTGAACTGGAGCATCTACGGTCGCAAGTCGCCCACCAGCAAAATGTCATCGCCGAGAAATTGGAGTTAGAGCGTCAGCTGAATATGGCTGAAGTAGAATTGGCTGCCGAAAAACGAGCACGGGAACAGCAGACGGCACAAGCGGAAGGCGACAAATCGACCGAAGACGATTTGCGGCGCAGGCTCAAGGACGTCGAGAAGAAGCTGACGACGGAGAAGCGTGAAAAGGAACAATTGCAGGAAGAGCTTGAGGCTGCCGTCTCAGCCGCAAAGGCTGGACAAGAGACCAAGAAGGCGGAACGCGAGTTGGCTCAGAAGATCCAAGAGATGGAGAAGGTGCTTTCAGTCGAGAGGCGGGAGCGGGAGAGGCTACGAAAAGAGCATGAGATGGCTCTATCTGAGGCCCAAACGCAAAATGAGATGCTCGAACAGCGCCTAGACACGGTCAAGTCCAAGTTGCGCAACGCTCAGGATGAGTTGAAGGCCGTTCGTGCGGAGTTGGGAGCTCGACCAACAGTGATACCGAGTGCACAGCTTTCTGCGCGTGCCGGAGGCGCAAAGGCGCAGGCCGGCAAGAAGCGAAGAGTTGAAGAGGTCACCATGAACGACATGAGCCTTGGCACGCCAGAAGACATCACTCGCGGCAGGCGCCCTGCTAAGAAGAAGGGTCTTGAGCAGACGATGTTGGGTGAGAAGTCACTGTTCTCCATTACTCCTTTCTTGGCCAAGTCCAAGACGCTCAATGTCGAGGATGCCGTCGCCGAAGAGGACGAGGAAGCTGATGTCAGCTATATCCCTCTGTCCCACCAGTCTCATTCCCAAGAGGTCGAGATCGATACTAGGACCGAGGTCGAGATTGCAGATGCGCCAGAACAGCTGGAGGAGGTTGAAGAGCAGGAAGAATCCGCGGATAAGCCTGCCCCCACCAAGACAACGAAAGCAAAGCCGAAATCCAAGAATGATGGTGAAGCAAAGAAGCCCCGTGGCCGACCAAAGAAGGCCTTGACGGAAACATCGCCAAATATGCCTGTGCAGGGGGTCTCGGCTGCGGCTGACAAACCTCACATTCCATCAAGTGCTCCTCTTGAGCAGGTGCTGGAGGAGCCTCACTCTGACGAGCCAGAGAATCTGGCTCCCGCAAAGGTTCCAGCTGCTAGCAAGGGCGAACAAGAAGTCAAGAAGAAGAAGCGCAAGTTGGGCGGTGAAACTGCAACACTCTTCGATGATGACGACGGCGAAGCGCCTCCCGCTGCTACCAAGCGGCCTGGCAAGGTTGGTATGGGTGCCGGCAGAGCTCTCGGCAAGACTCATCTTAGCATGGTGAGGAACGCTGGCGCTTTTGGCAAGAAGTCATTCTCGCCGCTCAAGAAGGACAGAAGGGGAGTCGGTGCCAGCTTCCTGGCGTGATCGGCTTTGAATAATTGTGCTTTCAAGCGAAGAATGCTTTTCCTTGGAATTTCAGCTCAACGGGAGGAGTCAAAAGGGACAATGCATCGGCGGCGTTTTCGGTCGGTTGTTTTTACGTTCAGGGTTGGCTAGTCGGTGAGGTTTATGTAAAGATAACGTAGGGTTTTCTAAGCCCCCAATTAAGAGACCGCATGCGGTTGCCATTTTGCCAGAATTTTGCGTCCTGATGAATGATTTTTGTTGCAAGTATCCGTGTAATTAAGCGCTCCGAGGGCTTTCAGTTGTGCCTAAGGAGATGTTGGACGCGGAAAGAAGTGAAGCCAATACCTTGTCAAAACCTGAGGTCGCCTTAGAGTCTTACCCCTAGTCGCATCCGAGAAGCTTGGGCCAATAAAGTCTCTCAGCTCACCTTCCATTGCAGAAGCTTCCCTTCAACGTCTCTCATCGTTCATTTCATGAGCATCGAGCGACATAGCGGCTTTGAACGCTCAAGCGTGGTCAAATCTGCCGACTCTTATCAATAGTCTTGACGTGTCATATGAGAACTGAGAAGACGACGCCCAACCTCATCCTAACCACCATTGTCACAACACATCCGCACAATGTCAGAAGCAGCATATCGCCCTCTGTGGAGCGCTGCCTTGCGCCGACCCTCTTCCAGCATATTCACAACATGTAAGCAATGTCAAAAAAGCTTTCCCGAGACTTTGCAGACGCGCGCATCTTCTTCCAACTCGCGGTGGAAGATGAGGCAGGGTAAAGACTTTTTCGCCCGCGAGGCCAAGGTGCAGGGGCTCAAGAGTCGGGCTGCGTTCAAGCTCCTAGAGGTACGAAACCATCAAATCTTGTTATGAAGTCAATCAAGGGCAAAAAATGGTAACGAAGATTGTAGATGGATGCCAAATACAAGATATTTCGCAAAGGGCAGACGGTAGTAGATCTGGTGAGTCTCCGAGAGTAGCTTGATGTCCCTTTCAAGAGTCATTGAGGCAATGAGGCTGAGAAAGCGATGAAGGGGTATGCTCCAGGAAGTTGGTCTCAGGTACGTCGGTTTTTAAGAAGACTTCTTAGATGAACGGAGAGTCGCGCGTCAGGGGAGAGTACGTGTAACATCGCTAAACAGGTTGCTGTCGAGCGCACGAAGCCAAATGGCCAGATCCTGGGCATCGACATCATACCCGCACAGCCACCCAAGGGCGTCTCAACAATCCAAGGCAACTTCCTTTCATCCGACGTCCAGGGCATGGTGAAGGACTATCTCGAGCGAGCCAGGCACCGCAAGCGGAACTCACTGCCAGCAGAAGAAGATGAAGAACAAGAGAACGACGAAGAAGAATCACCTGCGGATAGCGAGGCTACAGTCATTGAGGAAAAACCGAGCTACATCGACATGGAGAGAGCAGCGTCCGAAACTTCAAGTACCGCCAAGGATGGATCGGAAGCTAAGAAAGGTCGATTGGTGGATGTGAGTCTTTCCCGTTATTCCCCCTTCATCAAGATCTTTTAGGACGTTGCAGACTGACGTAAGGACCAGATTGTGTTGAGTGACATGTCAGCACCTTGGGACCAGACCAGTGGATTCGGCGTGAACAGTCTTAGTAATCCCTATCATAGGATGATGAACACGAGCGGCATGGCATTCCGAGACCACGCTGGGAGTATGGTACGTATCTTTCTCTTCCCTGCTGCTGTCTATCAAGTTACTGAGGTGAGAAACCAAGGATCTATGCGGAGCGGCACTGCAGTTCGCCAATGACACACTCAAGAACGGCGGGCATTTTGTCTGCAAGTTCTATCAAGGCTCCGAGGACAGAGAGTTTGAAAAGAAGCTAAAGACCTTGTTTGCAAAGGTTTTTCGAGAGAAGCCAGAGTCATCTCGCAGTGTAGGGACAGAGAGCCACATTGTGTATGGGAATACGCTGACTCGTTCACAGGACTCGAAAGAGGCGTACTTTGTCGCACTCAGAAGGAAGGGAAACGTAAGCTTGGAGAGTGACGACTTGTAATCAACTGTTTGACGTGTACGAGTATGAAAGTCAAGAGAAGCTGTAAGGGTTAAGTCACGGGTACTGCCGTGTTACGATACAGAGGGCAAGCTGAAGACAAGTGATTGTAGAGCTTTCACGGAATGCGAATGGGATAACCGAGAAAGGGGTCGGTCATCTCTAGCTGCCCCAGGAAGAAAGCCCCAGCGGTGTATTGTACATCACGCGCAGAGATGGTAGTCAGCAATTGGTTCGAAGTAGGACTTTGCCCGAGTAATACCTCTTGGTGTTGTAAAACCGAGTGTCGATCCTAATGGGGTCCTTGAATACCATCGTACCGGATACAGGATGTCGCGTGCCCAAGAACCCTACTACGAATCGATGGGATGGGGGGCAGAAACAATACTCCGGAATCTAGTCTAGGTCCTTTCAAGACTAAGACCCCATGTTGGTGCTTGGTACCTGAGCATGTAGATGAGCATTGGGATACACTGTGACCGAGTGGTCCGTAAGCTAAGCAATATGGGTCACCATGCAGGTTAAATGAATGAATGCCTACTATCTCTTGATTAAACTCGGGGTTGACGGCCATTCCCAGTCTCCAACTCAAATTCGAATATCGCTCATATCGGCTTCCCTTGCCCTCCTTGCCTTAGCAGTGGATCTTTGCGGGGTGGACCACTTCCATGTAATATGTAGTCCTCGTTCCCGAATCGGCGAACCTTGGGGTTCGCCAGTGCTGGGGCCTTTTCTTCCGCGCAGGTCTGTTGCGAGTCTAAGCGGGTGGCCAACGATCTTGGAGAAGTCGGCAGCCGTATTAGTGTTGCGAAAGCCCTTGCTCTGTAATATATAAACAAGCTGCTGCTCCCTTCATTTTGCCTCCATTGTCTCTCTCCGAACAGTATCTTGCTGACTTTGGCTACCGACAATCGTTTTACACCATTCGTAACATTTCAAGGACAACCGCAACTTAACACCCTCGAGCATCCTCTTCCGCAAACTTCAACATGCCTTCCGCCGACGCTCAGAAGGGTCAACTCCAGACCGTACTGGAGAACAAGGGCATCCGTTTCCAGTTCAAGACTGGCAGTGCCAAGTATGAGTGTCATCTACAGGACCGCTCTACGTAGTGAGTGAAGCAACCGTGCTCGATCTCTGACATTTCGCACTAATACGGTCCCCAAGCGAGCGCACGAAGGCGACGAGGACAAACTCTACCGACTCACAGACCAGCTCATCATCTGCTTCGACCACCAGCAGCTCCCACTAGAAGAAGGCCTTAAAACTATCTCAACTAAGAAAGTCGGGCAGGGAAAGAAAAATCTCGAAGACGGCGCGGTCAAATACGGTGACGGGATAGGGTGATGAAAGCCCACCACTTGTTTGAACGGCGCAATCACGGCGTTACATAGGCACGACATGTGGAGGAATAGGAAACCCCTTGAGGACCAACGTGCGACCTCTGATCGGAGCCGACGGCAAAGATATTCAACTCCACAACCAATACTCGGGGGCATGCTATCCGTCAACTCCGGTGTGCGTGAGAAATTACTCGAAGCACGTATATGGCAACACGCCGGTGTGCATTGGAGCGAAAGGGCGAAGGGCGAAAGCAGGATCTGCACGGAGGTTTGGAAAATATTGGCGTATAGAGCAGCTCGCAGCTGACAATTTTGTCTTCTTTGCTTATTTCTTCGGGAAGTAGATGGGCAATGAACTTGTTCTTCACTATACCTCACTCTAAATTGCATACTGTGTACATCGTCACTGACCAGATCCGTCAAACCCATCAAAAAGACGCTTTCCCGCGGGTAGCCTAACATCCGGCACTTCCGGAGACCAAAGTCAGCGAGAGCGAATCCCGACCCGATCACGAAAGTTCTACATGCAATGCATGGATGAGATTATTGAGAAGGGCATATAATTTGATCCCACGTTGACTCGGTGGATCTCGTCCGGCGGACCCTGATCCAGACGGTGTGTCGACGGCTTCCTCTAGAACACAGCTCCACCAGACTCCTTGGGGTCGATGTTTGTCGCCTGCTCCTGAGCAACAGTCATCTCACGCCACCGGTTGGCCATGATACAAGCATTTTCTTCATCCCGCTAGTCTCGAGCCCGCTAGAGCCGTGGGCGGCCATGTTGTACATTGTATCGTGTAGGGCTACATTAGCTCCACGTCTGAGCGGCGAATTCGTGATTCGGAGAGCCCCCGCTGCTCTCAAGTAAGCGTACCTCACCGAAGAGCACCGAGTCGGTCCCGAGAACCGGTGGACAACGTAGTGCGGCAAACGAAAGAAAAAATTGGCCGACTTATTCCTATGTCTGTCGGGGTCGGTCTTGCTTGACCGCCGACTTCGTGATTTGCCAGTCCTTACGGCCTAGTATGGACGGTGTTCTACAAATCCGTGGTCTCCATCGTCGTGGACCGTCCGGTTGCTGGATAATGCCGTGGTCCGGCGGACGAGTCTAAGATGAAGATTGGTAGCTCTTCTACTCTCACCAGTGCTCGTCTGCTTCTTAGTAGCTAGGGGGTCGGATACTAGACAGTGCCATCAGTTAGCTGCCGAGTACAATATGCCACGGAGACGAATTTCTGACTTGAGAGATTGTTTTCCGAATCCCATTAGCCATGCGAGAGGATTTGAGGGCGCCGTCGGCCTTTGAGGGGGTTCAGTGGGTGACATATCACTCCTGTGGCGAACCCCCCTCCAAGCTGGCGAGTATTACTTGCTGGGATGATGAAAGCTCTTGAAATGTAATACGAGATCCAACTGTTTGATTCTTGAAATTCTATATTTTCGGCCGCCAAACGCGTATGCAAGTCTTACGGGTCTATGTTTCGTTAGTAGAAAGATGAATGATAATACGACAGGCTTCGACAAAGCGGACAATCGAGCAATTGTCGACTCTACACGAAAGGCCTACGTTCCAGTTGGGACATAAGCTAGCTTCCATCCTAAGAAAAACTCACTTCTTACGGCCATCTCTTTGTGTTAATCAAGAAAAACATCCATTTCAACCTTCCCCAATCTCGCGATATAGGTGCTTCCCTCGATTCAAATCATCACATACGACCATACCCATTGGAAAACTCGGGATCCCGTCCGCTCTCCCATAGATAAGCCAATGAGGGCCGGATTAGTAGTTGGGTCGGTGACGACCAGCGAATACCTGGTGTTGTATGTTTTTGAAGTTTTGGTGGGTTCACGATAATCGCATGTGGTGGACCCGCATGGGGTTTTCTCAGTCGTTGATACCTTACCTCAAACATCACGAATACTTACAAGCAAACAAGCGTTTTTAGATTTCTGCGGTGTCTTCCGAAGTACCACGGTTCGTTGTTATACTACCACACGCCCGAATGGTTCCCAGCTCGACGTTCACCTGGTGGTTCATGCTGTCTAGAGCAGCGAAGGATAACGTACAGCTAGTTGACTGCAGGGAAGCATGGATAAGTAAGGTATGAATACAGCCAAAGTTAGCAGCAGAGAGATGTGAACTTTAGTCCGTCGTAGATAAGCACCGGTGGTTAGATAGTTGCCCTGCGATGCCTTGCCAGAATACTTGAATTAGTAAGATCATTTCGGTAGTGTGGATGGCGCTGAATGTGAATCTCTACTACATGCTCTTCCTCCTCGCTTCATTAATGGCGGGAACAAGGTGCATCTACATCAGTTTCCAGGTTTGCACAAGAAGAAATCTATACAGACATATGGGTATAGCGTCAAGTCCTGTTAAGGACCAGATACGACCAGATAGCGCGAGCATCAGAGGTTGTCATGGAGGTCACGCTAAACTCGGGGAGTGATACCGATCTTTTTGGGTTCCCATTCACGGCCATCTAGCAACTATTATGGTGCTAGAGAGCTAGCACAAGTATACGTACATATAAGGTATGTATGAAGTTGTCGACACCCAGGTGTATCTCGGCGGTGAGTGACGCTAATATCACAAGTGCTGTTCGACGATATACAACTGAAGAACTCCTTAAACAGCATTCGGTTTACTTTCGGCGCAGATTTTCCCTCAGCGCGACTACTTGAGTTCATAAGATAAGCTTATCAAATGTCGGTTGCCAGAATCACCATCCTTTTACAACCTCTTCCAAAAGTCGGTGATTGCCCCTCACATTGGAATCCAACATGGTGAAAGCCAACAGCTGGAATACTATTTGTGTCACGTCTTATATTTTCAATACATAAAACCTCAAGCTCAGTATCCTTGCAGCCAGAATCATCTACTTGCTTGCTTGGCCAGTAAAATGTTACTATTTGCGTCTTCGTCTATGGAGATCTTTGGCGTTCGCTTGGTGAGGCTGCTCAGGTGTAGTCTTCGGCAAGATTCGCTAGCAAGCAGATTGGGGATTCCAGCCAGTACTCCATGAAATATAATCTCAGTGAGTACGTACACTAGTACGCGCAAATTGGGAGTATATCTACATAAAAACCATTCGCATCGAGCCATGAAGGTGTTGCAATATCACGAGCAGGGCGCTATGAAATATGATCCTTGGCCTAAGTATGTTGCGAACGAGTATGCGTGTCTTTTTAGCCATAGAAATCAACCATTTAGCGAGTTTCTCATGTTATTGAGGACGGGGGATTGAGGACGGTGGATCACGGCCACTGAAGTATGGTAAACTGTCGCTGATCAACTGTCGGCAGGGGAACTAGGCTGTGCCGCGAGCAAGTTGCATCAAGCAAGACTGAAGCGTTTTCTTGGACCTCGTACTCTTGATTTGGCCCTCCGGATGGGTCGTTGGGCCGCTCTGCCGACAGGGTTGTACCAAAATCGGAATTGCAGCCGGAGCGGGGCCGAACAGTTCCCGGAGCCGACCTGCTGCCTTACTACAAGGTGGATTCCCATGTCCGGATTCAGTGGCGCCCCGCAGCCGGTGGGCGGCAGCACCAAGCCTCAAGTAAGAGCACACTAACAATTACAGAGTAAGGTGCCTTCTTCCAGACGTATACCGACGTACATCAGAAGAATGACTTAAACCCTCATCGTGCAACTCGACGCATTCATCTTACAATGGCGGATGACGTCCGATCTGTAAGCTGCGAAGCGCCAGAACCGGTCTGATCAAGAGGAGAAGAGGAGAGTGGCTCTCGAAGGCTACATCGATCGAGGATTTCTCCCCAACGCCCTACCAGCTCAACAAACTATTATTGCATGAAGTACCGGAGCATGTTATCGTGACAGCCGTTGCTTGCACACCGACCTTGCGTTAGCGAGTCACGCGGGCGATTTGGCCCTCAACCCCCGCCAGATTTTTTGTGGGACATGCCCGTCTCGTTCTCGACCACGAGAGTGCTATCTCGGCTTGGTTGCTCATCGCTCGGCAATTACCAGCGGGATGTTCGCGCCGCGGATGGCATTCTCGCGAAACCGACGGAAGGATGCCGCACCCTAGAGGCTTCACCTCCAGCTTGGCTAGGAGACAATAAACGACGCCATGCTTCCTCCAGCCGGGCGCAGCTGGAGGCTCTGGCAGCAAATAGGTGATGAAGCTTGCGGTGGGTGGCAACAAGTACAACCCACAATCCACAAGGTCCTTCAGGGAGTCAAGCGACGTGAGTGGGTGCCTGGATTGCCATGCGGCGGCGCCCCCAAACATGAACCAACTTAAGACCCATCAAGCACGCGCAGGCGCCCCTCTGCCCTCTTCTAAGTCTAGGCTCTCTGGCAAAGCGGTGGGTGACTCGTTGGACGTTTGACCGCACGCCGCGGACTCGGACGATAGTGTCCATGCCTGTCTCGCGGCGAGGCGGACCACGAGGCCTAGGTACCAAAGTCAACCCAAAAATCCAACTGTCACCATCTTATCGGTGCTAAGCCATTCGGACGCCCCCTACGCAAGTCACGTCCAGGGATCCCCCGCCAAGTATGGTCAAGCAGCAGCGGGCTATTGGTTGGACGTTCCTGGCCTTCCCCCTTTGCGGCAGCCCTGGATCCGACTTTGTGAGGGCAGAAGAGGTACTGGGTCTGGAAGAATAGTAGTACGGGGCCACCGAGAGCGCTCGTCAAGGTACTTTCAAGGCCTCCCGTCCTGCCGACCTATCTCTAGGTACCTGACGGCTGCGGCATGCCTACCAAGGTCCATATGCGGCGAGGGGGAGCTCAAGCTGCGGTAAGGGAATACGCAATCCCCCAAGAGAACCCGCACCGTTGAAGGGAAGAGACAAGGTGAGAAAAGGTAAGAAAGGTACCGTCGTAGAGAGGTATCTAAGTCGCCAGCCTGCCGCAACGCAACGCACCCTCTCACTTACACCATCTCCCTTTCTCTTCTCTTCCTTTGACTTTGCTCCGATTCCTCCCACTTCCCTCACCTACATACCGTACTTCCTTCACACACTCTTTCTTTTCGCATCTACAACCTCTGGTCAATACTTTTATTTCAAAGTGCGTTTGGCCTGCTGATCAGAGGTTGCTCGAAATGCCTGTGCCAATCGCCGCCAAAGGTCAGTGACATTCATCTGTACAACCACCCCCTTGTCGCCGCCTACCGCCCCTCCGTCTCAATGGATGGAAATTCCCCCGAATCCCCCCCATGCCCGCATCCCCAAACACCGCCCGACGATCTGCTGTTCTGCTATTCATTCGGAGCCTACACTACGGATACACGTACCTACACTACCCCGCGTCAGCGCTCTCGCGAATCACGTTGCTTGCCTGAGGTGGTCAGGCCTGTGGCAAATGGCATCCAGGACCACGCAATCCCGACTTGTTCGGGCGCGTGGCCAATTTAGAGCTTGACAGTTTCGTTTCTCGGGTTGCTATTTCATCTGTTTCTTTTTGCCTTTTTTGCAAAATTGCAACCAACCTGTTTCGCTCCCTGCTACCTCACCGTTTCTCGCCATTTCATCCCCTACAACTCTGACTGCCTCGACGCTTGACGATGCCTGGTGTTAACAACGGTGCCCTGGCTTCAGCCGGCATTATTGCTGTGTCTGTTGCCGTTGCAGCTGCTATTGCCATCTACGAGTCACCAGAACTTCAGCGATATGCCAACGATGTCCGGAGACGCATCGCCATGGCCTTACACTCTTTGGGCGAGGGTTTCGAGCCCAACGACCGCCCGCCCATGTTCAACAGACCCGAGGACGCCCAGGGTTTCCTAGAGTCCCGTGGAGGGGCTGAAGCCGGAGTCGACGCCGATGACGAGACACGCCGCCGCCAGCGCGAGGAGATTTTGTATTGGAATGCCGTGGCCTTGGCCAAGAAGGAGAAGGAGAGAATCGAAGCCGAAGAATCCGGATCGCGGGAGCTGCCGCCACCAGGCCCAGCGCGAGGTAGATCTTTCGATGACTTTTTGCACGAGGACAAGAGTGGCGAGAAGGGATCCTTCGTTTACAACACGGGCGCAACCACCTACAACGACGAGGGGCTTATTCGACGCCGTCCCGAGGGTGTCCGCGGCCTCAACGCTTCGCTTTACGCCAACCCTTTCGCCGACGAACACCAGATCGATCAGGAAGATTTGCCAGTCATGGAAGAGCCCAGCTCCCTGTCCCCCGCCCACGACGAGGCCGTGTCAGACATTTACAGCGCCACCACCCGCGACGCCGACGAACGCCCCCGAGACATTGCCGCCACCATTGCCCAAATGCCCCCTCTGGTCGACGTCTCTGAAACTTCATCCCAATCTGAAAAGTCCACGACTCTCGACCGCGAGCTCGGTGCCGACGAGTACATGACTGCTGGCCAAGAGAACCGCGAAGAAGCCTATGCCTCCATCCAAGCCTGGGCACAAGGGTCCAGCCCCTCCAACTTTTACTCACCGCTTCCCATGTCGCCTCCCGTACCCATGTCCGAACCCGAGCTTGTTAGCGAAGGCGAGCTCACCCCCACCGACTCGGCCTCCCTCGCTGGCTCCGGCGAGGACGTCGCCAACGATGCCGCTTCGTCTAGAGCCGGTGACAACAGCCGCTACTACGATGTGCTGAGTGAGAGCGAGGGTATGATGACTCCCGCTAGCTGGTCCGAGGTTGGAAGCGTTGTCAGCGAGAGCGAGACTCGCAGCGAAACTGCGCAGGCCCGTGTCCACGCATGAACGCGGTTTCTCTTCAACTTTTCTTTGGTATATCACAATTGATTCAGTCAGCTCGCTAAGCACGGCGACGGAAATAGCAGGGAAAGGCGCAAAAGGATCAACAGGACTGGGAAACAGAGCACGAATAGATTTTGGGCGGATAGGCACATGATTTGAAATAAAACCTTTAGTTTCTAAATGCATTTCCCCGTGATCCCATGTCTTCCCTGTTGGTCTGCCTTCTGAGAGACCATCGCATAGCGCCGCGTCCACGGCAATCAAAGTCTAACAAACTCCAAAAATGACAGGAAGTGTATCTCCTCGTTTACGCTAGTATGGTAGTGGAACAGCTCTTCACTGTGGA